AATGTAATCCACTTGGGAAGTTTGATACGTATTCCAATCATGTCCCGCTGTCAACGCACCTTTGCGACTCCCCTTTGGAAGTCTGTAGCATATAATCTTGAACACTGGTGAATGTTTATCTTTCTAGGGTGAACTGTATTTTTGGAAATACCCCCAAATCATTTGTAGTCAAGTCTGGAGAATAAGGTGAGGCATTAGAATTGGTGATTCTGCTTTGAGTCAAGCACCTCTGAAAACATTGCTCAGTGAAGTGTAGTACAGACACTCACTGTCCCATGGGTCCCAGCTTTTGGGTGGTATAGATGATTTCTCAGATGTTTCAGAACCTTGACATGTGAAATAAAGCTTGATTGGCTATTCAATGGAAGAGACAGGTGGGGGAAAGGGAGGGCACTGATGCTTGAAAGCAAATGACTCATGATCTTGTCTCATGATTTGGAGCCACTTTTGGGCCAGGGGAGTGGGAACTCCCTTGGAAGATATATGGCTCTCTGGTCCTGGGTCAGCTAGGGCATCACTGGCTTTTTGAGTATCATTTCCCTGCAAAAGGTGTTGCCCAGTTTGACTTTATCTGGAAGACACAGTAACAGGAATGCCCTCTCTTCTGTCCATCACAAGAGTGTGGCTCAACATTTTACAACACAATTTCTTGTTTTCTTGTAAGACTCAGTTTCTTTGCCTTAATTGAACGCTTCAGCCATCAGTCTCACTGTTAATCGTCTTTTTCAATGAGTTGGATCTTTTCAGTATTTTTACAATATTTTCATGGGGCTCAGGGAGGGAAAGGAAGGGGGCTGGACAGTTGCTTCCGGCAATGTCCTGCTTACCCACCTGTCTTTAAACCTGGCAACTCTGTATAACATCCAATTGTTTTTGGCATTATCTCACTTCCGCACACCTCTTTAAGCCTCTCAAGTGTCCCCTTTGCAAGATTTCCATGACTTTGGCTCTATCAGAAATACGCACTCCCTTTATGAGGAACCAACCCTGCATGCACTTCCCGTCTCCATGAGCTCGGCTGGAGCTGGCTGTGGTGGAGCCAGGAAATGTATGCTGGGGTGACACCGAGGAGATGCTGCCGTGGGCTGATGCATGTCAATCTCTCCTCCTCTGCTTTCAGGGAAAACCTGCCTGGTGAAGTTATTGTCATACGAGGTATGTACAGTTTAATAGGGGCCCCTGGAGTTAGGTACCCTTGCCTTTGTTATTTCAGACAAGCTCAGTGAAAACTTTGGGAAATTACTCCAACTCTATGAGCTTCAGTTTTGTGATCTGCAGAGTGGGAATAATAATAGCTATATTCTGGGAGGTTGTGAGGACCAAGTGTGATGCTTCATACGAAGAGCTTGGATTGTGACTAGTGCACAACAGATGCTCAAAAATGAAAGCCATCTTTACGATGACCGGAATGGTCATCGTCAGTGCCCCAGCCAGTTGTGAGCTGTGGCCGTTTTTGGCCGGATGAACTAACTGGTCACAGAGGGAGGGAAGGGGAGGTCAGTGATATCTGTCCATGGTTCTGATTCATTTGGCCAAGAGCCATTTTGACTGATCCAATAAACGTCAGTGATCACCTATTTTTGTGTCAGATACTCTCCTAAGTACCAGACTGTTCAGGTAAAGGGGAAGCCTTTCGTCTAGGCTCCCAGACAGTCTCATGTGTACATAGGTGACAGTGTGTGTGACATGCCCATCTCATGTGCATACACATATGTAGGCATTTTTAAAACACTGGGTGTAATGTGAGTGTAGTCTGTGCGTGTATTGCGGGGAGGATGAGTGGTTTGGGGCTGAAACGTAGGAGAGGAATTGCTGTCATGCAGCTCACCTGGGCAAATACCTGGTAAGATGGCCCCTCCTTGGCCATGAGGACAGGGTGGCTTCGTAGAACTTCCCAGAGAAGTACACTGGCCCCCACCTCTCTCCTCCTCCAGATGGCCTACCAGAGCAGAATAAATCTGAGGCCAGAGCTGAGCTGCTCTCCTGATGGGCACTCCAAACTAATTTTCTGGTGCATTATACACTTTGCCTTTTGAACAATCAATGGCCTTAAATGCTGTTTGGTTCCTGCAGCCAAATCCAAGAGAAATAAGACATAATCCATCTGGCTGATATGGCCAGAGCAGGGAGGGAAGGAGAGAGAAAGAGGGAGGCTTGAGCTGCCCTGGGGATCTCTGCTTGGCTCAGGGAGGGCGGGGGAACTGGAGGGACCTGCCAGCTTTCAAGGGAATGGGCCTTTAAGAGATATTGATGGCTGGCTAATCACGGCCCTGTTTGTCTCAATGCATTCTACCCATAGAGCTGTCACTCCTGCAGGAGCTGAGCTCTAGTGGGGAAAGGCTGGGATACAGCTCAGAATTTAATATTCAGAGGGAGAGCCCTGGCCCCTGGTGTGGATGTCCTCCAATCCTGGATGGAGGGTCTGGCAGTCTGGAGTTAGATTTCAGGCATAATCTCTTAGAAGCCCTGAGATGGCACCAGGTAGTTTATCCTGGGGGGCAGGGATGTGAGGTCTCAGAATATTCTGGGGGTTGCTTGGAGGACCCCATAACAGGCTCAGGAGAGGACCTGGCCCTGCAGTCCTGCCCTGGGGCTCAGCCTGGCAGGGGTGGGATGTGGGGAGGTGCACTGCAGGAAAAAGGGGGTTGACTTGGTCTCCCCATTCAGGTTATTCCCTACAGGAAGAGGGAAAGCAGAATCGCTCTCCTACAGAGCATCTGCTCCTACAGGTGAGATTTCTAGAAGGACAAGCAGTGAGCATCTCAGGTGCCCCTGCTGCTTCTGACAGCCCAGCTGGGGCGACTGCATCCCGAGGACCCCTGCACGTCCTCCACCTCTCTCTCTCCCTCTGGCCTGTGCTCCTCTCAGGGGAATGAGTTGAGGGAGTCAGGTGCCTGGCCCAGGGCTCAGTTTCCCTGTCTCTTTCTAGGAACAACGCCGTCTAGAGACAGATAAGTGGAAGATGCAGACCTCTGCTGGACCCAGGGGTTTGGATCATTTTCCTTGCGGATGGAATACCCAGAAGGTAGGAGAAATGACGTTTGTGGTGTGAAGTCAGTCAGGTAGCAGCCTGGTGAGATGTGAGTGTGGCAGGAACACATCTTCCCAAAGGGTAGTTTGGGAGTGGTTTCCCTGCGGAAGGCCTGCAGGTGGAGGCTGTGGGAGGTGGCCGCTCTCCGGCCCTGCCCTGCACCTGGCTCTGGGGAATGGGACCCACCCTAACTGCCTGTCTGCATCTGTAAGCACTGCCGCATGCCTGGGCTGCTGCTGGGACCACACCTGAGACACAGGTGACACCTCAGGGTAGGGGAGGGTGGCAAGGCCAATAAGGGGCCCAGCCAGGTGCCAGGGCAGAGGAGCCACAGGCAGGGGGCTGGGAACCTAGGCCGGGTACAGCCCCCATACAGAGGGGGCTTCAAGATGGGCAGTTGGGAGCTAACTTGGAGGGTGATGAAAGGGAGGCTCAGTGTTGGCTTGAGCCACGGAGGCTCCCCCCCAGCTCTTCACAGCCAGGGCCGGGGGCTCCCCTCCAAGGCCTGGCCATATCTGCCCCTGCTTAGCTAGACAATGGCTCCTGCTTCTTTGGTCCAGGACAGCTCCGCCTTCAGCGGCTGCAGCACTGACAATCCAGCGGTGGGGGCAGCTCTGTGATAAGGGCGGGGCCTGTGCACTTCTCCGATGGGTAATTATGCTTTGAGCGTGTTTTACGGAGATGCAGGGCTTGTCTGACAAGGCACACGCTTGTTCCTGCTGCCGAGGCAGCTGGGGAGCTGAACGGAGAGGCCAGGAGCTGGAGATGATGTTGCCGCTTGGGGAACCCGTCGTGAATAATGAGCTTCTCATCCCAAGGGACACTCATCCAGCTGGGTCTCCTGTTCCTCCCCTGGCCCGGGAAGGAAAGCAAGGGGGTTGGGGCTGGGTCAGAGGACTCCTCGGAGTAGAGGGAGCTGGGGAATATCACACACTTATGGTAAAAGTTATTATAAACATTTATTGTTAATTATTTCAATAGCAGAGATGCCTAATATTTGTAGAGTGTTCTGTATGTTTCAAAGCATTTTCACTTTGGATTCTCACCATAGTCCTTTGATGTATGGACAGATCTTTATCCCCACTTGAATGATGAAAAGGGAGACCCAAGAACATTAGGTGGCTTGGCCAGCCAGGTCCAAAGCCTGGTTTCCTGACTTGCTGTTCAAGGCACCTTCTCTGTCTCCAAGTTGGTCAGTCTCTCTGTTACACCGAGTCCCCAGCCCTGCGTCATTCCAGAGGCCCTGTGTGTGTGAGGCCCCTGGGCGGGAGTGGAGAGGAAGGGTCAGGCGGGAGAAGGGGCCAGGTCCCCGCATCAGGGTGCTCCTGCAGGAGGACAGGAATTCACGGGAGGTGGAGTGAGAGTGACCTGAAATCACAGGCGGTGAGGGTGAGACAGCCCAGTGAGTGTTTCCACAGATGCTGCCCCACCATTGTGGGAGGCGGCAACACTGAGATTGCCATCTGCTTGCAGGTTTGCTTTAAAAGACACTGCATGACAAATCAGCCCTTTCTGTGCACTGCACACGTGAAGATGATGCCAACAAACACTCTGTGGATTCTGTACTGAAAAACTGAGAGACCAGAAAAGATGATAGGATTGTTCAATTGGGCTGGGGTAAACCATGGAAGGCTTCCTGATGGAGGAAGTTCTGCGCAGAGTCTGGAAAGAAGGAGAGGACAGGCACCATTAGAGGGGAAATGGAGGGCCTGGGGCAAAGGGATGAAAGCATGTTTGGGATGGTGAGCATTTTAGCTTGGAAGGCTCGGGGCAGGGGGACTTAGGGTGGGTGAAGGACTTGGGGTGGCAGGTCAGATGTGAATTGGATAAGCTAGAAATTAAGGAGCCTCTGAGGATGGTTATAAGGGGAGAAATACAATCAAAACAGTGTGAAATCATTTGCAAGGCTTTGTGTAGAGTCAGGAGTGAAAGGAGGGACTGAGGACAGGTGTGGGCAGATGAAGACTCAGGCATCAGCTGCGTCCCGCTGTGACTTGGATTCCAGGCACTGGCCATGGAACCTGGAATTCTCTGGATGGCTCTGGGGCTTTAGGACTGTCAGCACATTCTGACCTAGCCCTGCTTTCACATTGGTCTGCATTCTGGAACTTGGCAGGATGGACAGTTCCCACAGCCCATTGCCCCGACCCACAGCGCCTTCCTTCTCCCAGCCAGCACCTAGCCTTCCCTCTACAGGATGCCAGTTCAGTGCTGGATTCTGCCTCAGGCTCCAAGACAAATCTTGCTGCTCTGGGAAGATGCCCTGCTGCTCCTTCTGCTCCACTCCGGGGTGATTGATGGCTGCGGGAGGTGGTTGAGCAGCCTGCCTCCCCCAGCCCAGTTCAGATGGTTGTAGTGGGTGGGAAGTAGGGTTCCAGGGTAGAGTAGTGGCCAGGAGGACAGGCCAGGGAGATGACCAGGGATGCTCCAAAAAGTGGTTAGAGTGGTTCTAAATGGAGTTGCTGGTGCCAGGGGCCAGGAGATGGCTGCAAAGTCCTATAGAGTTAGCTTAATATTGGATTCTTACGAGTGGGAAGAAAGCGATACTGTGCCACCTAATTTCTTGCTTTCTCAAGGCCACCCTGGACCAGGGTTCTGAAAGACTCATGATGGCTATGGAGTGAAGGCCCTCTATTGTCTTCAAGAGGAGGCCAAGGCTCAGGAAGAAGGAGGTGGTTTATCCTTAAAAGGATGTGCCCTGTGAGTCCCACCACACAGCGCCTTTCTCAACCTTTGCCCTTCTCTTTGGGCTCCCACGGTGTAAGTTTCAGCCTTTCTAGGGAATTTGAAAGGGACAAATCCTCCTCTTGGGATCTGGGGTGGGGGTAACCCAGGAGCTATAGGCACCTGTAAAACCAATTTAAAAATCAGTCTAGCCAACCAGCCCCCAAAGGAACCAAGGGAGCTATAGAGTAACTCAAAAGCAGACACTAATGGAGGAGAAAAGAAATGTAGTTACATATTCATCAGCTTTTAAATATTCATGAGGATTGTAAAGCAGATTAATTTTCATGCCTCATTTCTCCCGTGGTTCCCGCTGTCCATATTTTACCGCAGCAGCAGAAGAAAAAGGAGCTATGGATCACTTGGCCACTGCCCTCCCCATCACTTAAGGAGCAGCGCTTGTGCGTGTGTGACAGGTGGGGGACGGCGGGGTGGTCACTATGGAGGTGATGGTTTTCGTCTCCTGAGGGACAGGTCCCTTTGGTCGAATCAGGCCCTTGTGAGAAAAGCAGGACACAGCAGCAGTGACAGTGACGGTGACAGTGTAGGGAAGTGTCTGAGGGAGAGGGAGCGTTCTGGAGCAGAGGGCTCTGGGGGCATCGAGATAATTGCCGGCTTCCCCAGGGTGAAGAGAGGAAAGGACCTTTACCAGAGTCAGCAAGAGTTTCATTTGCACTCCCCTAAACTAACTGTCTGAGACGAATGATTGAGTGGGGTGACAGAGCAGGGGAGAGGGCATGCAGAGAGGGAGTGAGGAAGAGAAGGACGAGAGAGACTGAAGGACAAAGAGAAGGAGGGCAGTGAGGGGGAGGAAGAAACAGGGGCAGGGGGAAGGAATGGACAGGGTGATCAAGGGCCCCATCTGTCATCTGTTCCAGGGGACAGCATTAGAAAAAAAGGTCATCAGATAAAAGCAGTAAGGATGGAGGTTAGATAACGGGAAGGATTTTCAGATCCCAGGGCTATGGGACTGTCTCTCTACAGAAAGTGGGAGAAACGTTTCCCTGAGTCACACACCAGCTGTGAGGCAGAGTAAAGGCAGCCTGAAGCCAGAGATGCATCAGGAATTGCTTGGAAAACACAGCCAACAAGAGCTCAGAGAGTCAGTGTCAGATGTTTGGTATGGAGAAGAGCCATCCTAAAGCCAGTGGGAGCAAATATCATGGGAATGAAATAATATCATGGGATGAAATGAAAAAATATCATGGGAATGGGAATAAAATGGGAATGAAGGGACAGGCATTCTAGGCAAAGCCTTGTGTCGTCTTGAAATCCTCCTCTCTTGTGTCCCCTCTTTGAACCCACAAGCTCTCCCCTTTTCTCAGGGTCCTAGTCAACTCTTGGGCAGGGCTTTGCTGTTGGGAGTGAGTCCTTCACCCGTGTTCTTCCCAAAAAACCAGCAACACCAGGGTGAGCAGCCTCAGGGCTCAATTACCCTTCACCTTCTTGGGCTCCAACCAGACAGAACAGGGCAGTTTGTGGTAAGAGTGTTTCCAGGACAAGTTCAAAGCTCAGCCCAGTGGAGCAGGTTTGAGCCAAGACTGGATGACTCAGTTTTGTGGCCCTCAGCCCCTTTCAGCTTCTCCCCAATACCCAGGTCAGCATTGCTGCCCTCAGGCGACCCTGCCTGGTTTTGGGGCATCTGAGCATCTCATTTTCAGTCTTCCTCTTTTCTCTTCTCACCTCTCCCTTCCCTCACTTGCTGCCCATCCTCCACGTTGGGTGCAATATGATCAGCTCCTAAAAAGGGCTACTTCCCACTGCTACCTGACTCTCAAGGTCACTCTAGGGCATGGAGGGCGTGTGCAGATGGGCTGGGGGTGTGGTGCAGGTGCTCCTTCTTCAGGCATGTTTGGTATAGATAAGGAAGTGACAGTGACGTCACTGCATGAAGCCCAAGGCGGGAAGATGGGGAGTGGCGGTTATCCAAGGTGGGAGGTTTGCGCAAGGAGAGAAGAAGCTCAGACACATGCTTCGAGGTGATGCGTGTGCCCCTCCTAGACTCCCACCTTCATGGGTCTGCCACCACCCCTGAGATGGCCTCCACTTGTCACCCAGGCCAGATGTTCCTCCTCTTCCTCCCCCTCACCAGGGTGGAGAGGTGGTGTCTGCAGTGTGGGGGAGTCTGGGTGAGCTTTTGAGCCCCCAGGGCTTCCCCAACTTGAAGCCTCGAGCCCCAAGCTGGGGCAGTGCTGCCGGGGGCCCTGGGCATCAGGTGAGCCCAGTCTGGGCAACTCTCAGAAGAGGGCACCGCAGTAGGGTGGCTATGAGTCCTGACTTTGGTGCCAGGTGGAGCCTGAATTTCATCTCCACTATCTATGTGCTGCAGACAAGTTACTTAACCTCCACCCCTTATCTTATCTGTAAAATGGAGATAATTACACTCCCTCCTTCCAGCAGGAGTTGGGGAAGCAGGGATGTGGGCACTGAGTAAATGCAGGTGTTATTATATTTTTTGTTGTTGATGGACTTGCTGAGAGGATGGAGGCTGCAACCCACAGCCCTGTCCTGGCTCCCCACTCCAGCTGCTTTCATGAAGCCCCTAGCTTCCTGACTCTTGTTCTGGATCCTTGTCTGACAGTCCCCCAGAGGGACCCATTGCATCCTTAATTGCAATCCTCTTGCTTGGCAAAGCCATCAGCACCTAATGTCCTATGTCATTGCTGGTTCTCTGCCGGCGGACACCGCACTCCGGGGGCTGCTCAGCCACCCAGGACAACTCCATCTGGCCAGGAACGGCCATGGCGGTCGGGGGTGGAGCGGGAAGGGGAAGGGGAAGGGCCAGAACCTTCCAGTGATGCATTGGTGACACTTTGCTTACAAATCATTTAATATCAGAGGGCAAAGGCCTCTGTGACTCTGTCTCTGGTCCTTTCTACCACTTTGGACCTTCATCTCTTCCCTGGAAATTGCAGAGGTACCTCTGATCTCCCCCACCAGAGCCTTATCCATCTCTTCACCCAAGAGCAAGCTCTTGGATCCGGGGATAAAATGAGGTTCCTCCCAGCCCCCGGCCCCACCCCACCTTGGCTAGGATGCCTGTGAGGGGTTTTTAAGGTAGGGCCCAGCAAAAAGTCAGGGCTGGGGAAGATGAACTCGGAGGAAGATTCAGGACCCAGTGGAGACTGAGATTCAGAGAAGCGTCTGAGTTCCCATTTCCTGGGTCCCAAGGCCAGGTGCCTCTCCTGGGCTAGCACCCATGGTGAGCGCCTCTCTGCTCCAGCACCCAAGGAGCACCCAGGGAACAGGGAGCAGCTTCCTCAGGAGTTCACCTGCAAGACTGGCCTGAGGGTGGCTTTGGCTGCCCCCCCAGCACAGGGCTGACAGTAAGTGGGCAGCTCTGTCGGCTTGCCCAGTCACATCAGGACAACAGATTTTGTTCAAAGGAAGCCCAGGGCCTCCCCATGTTTGAGAAAGAGCTTAGAAAAGAGACAGGGGGAGGAGGAGACTCCCAGCTGCCATCCTTGCCCCCTCCCTCCCCAGTCCTCCTGGCCACGTTCCTGCCACCACCTTCCCAGGCGCCAGGGGATGCGTCTCTCTTACCTTGAGCCCAGGAAGAGACACAAACCCCTTTGCTGGTTCCTCTCAGCGTTGCTGGGATCCGCTGGCATTTTCACAAAGGACTTCCATAAATACTAAGGGAGAACAAAACGGAAGTAATTACAGAAAATACAAACAGCATGAAAACAGTCAAGTTTCTAAAGTACAGGTTTCCCAGCCTCAGATAACCACCCTGGAGCCCAAGATGCTGGCCCGCCTTCCCGCAGGCCCCGGGCCGGGCTCCAGCCCTCGCAGACTGGCCTGCCGCTGCACATCTTGGCTCCCGTGGGGCTGGGCTGCCAGGCCGAGTCCCAGGCGGAGTCCTCCTGCCCCTCAGCGTCCCACTTGAGGATTGGCCTCAGCCGTAGCTGTGGCGTCTAACACACTGAATAACTCACACCTGGCTTCCGGTGGAGGCTTCAACCCCCTCACGGGCATTGCTGAGACAGGTAAGCCCTCATCTCCATCCACAGCCCCATCCATGGGACACCCACTACCCGAGCACATTCTCGCTGTGGAGTCACTGTCTGACTCTCCACGGCCCCTGAACCAACCTGCTCACACACAGTAGAGGACACGTGGCAGCCTTTGTTCAGTGTGACCGGCCCCCTGGACTGAGGTCGACCGGACTAGCATGGGCACCTGAGCCATCCTTGGGGTATTGGAATTGGGACCTAGAGACTATCTCTTCACGCCTTTCTTTCTTTGTTCCATGTGGGCTTGGGAGCCCCGAGAGGCCACGTTGAATTGTGAGGTCTGCCCAGCTGTGCACGGAGAAGCCGAGGACGAGGTGGGGCTGAGGATGGGAGATGGGGAGTGGGCGGGCAGGAGCCCCTGGTTCCGGCTGGCGTTCCTGACCTTGGCGAGGCTTGACCCATGACACGACTGAGGCTTGACCATGTCCCTGCGCTGGGGCTCTATATGACACTCCTGTGTCCCTTTTGTAAAATTTCCCTTTATTGAAATGCTAGTTTGAGTGGGTTCTGTAACTTGCCACACCTGAGTCCCAGCTGATACGGCCACACCTGTAACTGGGACAAACACAATAGTGCACCTGGGGCCCGGGAGGACCCAAGCTGGGTCTGCACGGGGGCTTGAGTGGACAGAGAGAGAGTCATGGACCACCAACCTTTTCCAAGTTATTGGGGGTGGAGCTTCCATGGAGCTCATGCATAGGGGTGAGCAAGAGGGAGGTGCTTTAGAATATTGCTTGCCCATTACAATCAATCCACATCTATTGGTCCAGGAGCGGGCCTCTTCTTCCCCTTTAACATTCCACCTTCTGGTCCCCCTCCCCACTCCTCCTGCCCCATGGGGGTGTAATGCACAGACTAGGAGTCTGAAACCTAAGCTTGGGCCCCAGCTCAGCCACTGATGATCTGTGTCACCTTAGACAAGTGACTTTACCCCTCTGGGCCTTGCTTCCCTCCCCCAAAATGGTAACCATAACCTCTCTATATTTCACAAGTTTCCTTCAAACGTTCCCCTCCCTACCT